GAGGTGTGTGGGTGGGAGTGTGTTGTGTGTGGGAGGATGTGGTGTGTGGAGTGTGTGTGGGCGAGGTGTGTGTGAGTGGGAGTGTGGTGTGTGTTGGGAGGGTTGTGGTGGGAGGGTGTGTGTGTGGTGGGGGGGAGGTGTGTGTGGTGGGAGGTGTGTGGTGGGAGGGTGTCTGTGGGGGAGGGTGTGTCGTTGGGGTGTGTGTGTGGGGAGTGTGTGTGTGGGGCGGAGTGGTGTGTGTGGGAGGGTGGGTGTGGGAGGGGTGTGTTGGACGGAGTGTGTGGTGGAGTGGTGTGTAGTGTGGTGGGAGGGTGTTGGTGTGTGGGAGTGTGGTGTGTGGCGAGTGTGTGTGTGTGGGGAGTGTGTGGTGTGGGAGGGTGTGTTGTTGGGTGTTGTGAGTGTGTGTGTGGAGGGTGTGTGTGTCGTGGGAGGGTGTTGTTGTGGGAGTCTGTGTGTGTGGAGCGGTGTGTGTGGTGGAGGGTGTGTGTGTGAGGGTGTGTGTTGTGGGAGGTTGTGGTGTGGGAGTGTGTGTGTGGTGGAGTGTGTGGTGTGGGAGTGTGTGTGTGGGAGGGGTGTGTGTTGGAACGTGTCGTGTGTGGAGGGTGTGTGCTGTGGTGGGAGTGTGGCGGTGTTGGGAGTGGTGCTGTGTGGAGGGTGTGTGTGGTGTGGAGGGGTGTGTGTGGGGGTGTGTGTGTGTGGGAGGTGTCGTGGGGAGGGTGTGATGTGTGGGAGTGGTTTGTGGAGGGTGTGTTGTTGGATTGTGTGTGGGGGCGGGGAGGGTGTGTGTGGGAGGGTGTGTTGTGGAGTGTGTCGTGTGGGAGTGTGTGTGGTGGTGAGTTGTGTTGTGTGAGGTGTGTGTGGTGGAGGTGTGTGACCATGTGGGGGGTGGTGTGTGTGGGAGGGTGTGTGGTGGAGGTGTCGTGTGCTGGGAGGTGGTGTGGTGTGGGGAGGGTCGTGTGTGTGGTGTGGAGTGTGTCGTGTGTGTGGGGGGGTGGGGGAGGGTGTGGTGGTTGGAGTGTGTGTGTGGGTGGAGGGTGTGTGGTGTGGGAGTGTGGGTGTGTGGGAGTGTCGTGCTGTGAGGTTGTGTGTTGTGAGGGTGTGTGTGTGTGAGGGGTGTGTGTGGTGGGAGTGGTGTGGGTGTGGGAGGTCGGTGTGTGGGGGTGTGTGTGTCGGGAGGGCGTGTTGTGGTGGGGTTTGTAGTTGGGGAGAGGTGTGTGTGTGTGATGTCTGTGTGGGCGGGGGGAGGTGTGTGTGTGGGGAGGGTGGTGTGGGAGTTTGTGGGGGAGGGGTGTGTGTGTGGGAGGTGTGTGCGTGTGGGGAGGTGGTGTGGGTGTGGGAGGGTGTGTGGGGGGGAGTGTACTGTGGGGGGAGGGTGTGGTGTGGTGGGAGTGTGTGTTTTGTGGAGGTGTGTGTGTCGTGGGAATGTGTGTTGTGGAGGGTGTGTTGTGGGAGCTGTGTGTGTGTGGAGGTGTGTGTGGAGGTGGGTGCGCCGTGTGGTGAGTGTGTTGTGTGATCGTGATGTGTGTGTGTGGTGTTGTGTGGGGGAGTGTGTGGGGGTGTGTGGTGTGTGGGGGGTGTGGGTGTGTGGCGGAGGTGGTGGTGGTGGTGTGTGTGTGTCGGAGGTGTTTGTGTGGGAGGGTGTGTGTGGTTAGTGTGTGTGTGGGGGGGTGTGTGTGGAGTGTGGTTGTGTGGCATGGTGTGTGGGGGGGGGGTGTGTTGGTGGGAGGGTGTGTGTGTAGGGAGGGTGTGGTGGGACGGGTTGTGTGTGTGGGAGTGCTGTGTGTGTGAGGTGTGGTGTTGTGGAGGGTGTGTGTGTGGAGAGGTGTTGTGTGTGGGAGGCCGCCTGTGGTGTGGAGGTTGTTGGGAGGGTTGTGTGGTGGAGTGGTGTGGTGTGGGGGAGGTGTGTGTGTGTGGGAGGGTGTGTGTGTGTGGGAGTGTGTGTGTGTATGGGAGTGTGTGTGTGTGTGGGAGAGTGTGTGGGGGAGTGTGTCCGTGCAGGGGAGGGCGTGGCGTGTGGCGGGGGCGTGGCGGGGCGGGCATTGGTCCCGGGCGGAGCCGATGGCAGGGGCGTCTGGCCTGGCCCTGGAGCTCGCAGGGCGCAGCGTTGGGCGCACTCAGGGCTCACAGGCCGAGCAGGGCCCCGTGGCCCAAGGCTCCCGGGCCTGGCTCGGGCCACTGGGCCCCACACCTGCTGCGTCCCACCGAGCGCTGTAGGCCCCGCTGGGGCGGGCGCGCAGGCGCGTGCAGGCGGCGCTGATTCCCGTGGAGCTGCGGAGAGGCGGGCGCGTGTCACCCGTCCGCGGTGAACAGTGCGGAGCCAGCGAGGCCACGAATTGCCCCGTAGGCCAGGGGCTCCACAGACGCTCTCCCATGCGTCTTTGTCGTTCTCTTTTGGGGAGACTAGAGTCATACCATTTTTGAGGATAAAAGTTTGACATCCACAACACTGCGGGTCGACCTCTGCATTTCCTAAATGATCGCCTGCTCACGTGCCCGCGGAGCTCTGGGAAACCACCGGAGCGGGTCCCAGCCCCAGAGGAGGCCCGAGGGGCAGGGCCTTTGTTCCTTGCAAGCCCTGGAGGCCCAGTGCAGGTGGTGGTGGGGCTCCGGACTGAACAACGAGTGGGCCAGGAGAGGGTGCACCCCAGCCTGAGTCCAGGAGGCACCTGTGCCCCCAAGACCCTTCCCACACTCCACTCCCTGTCCCGAAAGAGAGGAGACAGCGCCGGCCTGCACCCAGCGCTCTCAGCCACGGGAAGACCGTGGCCACATCTGTGAGCTCTGCACCCAGCGCTCTCAGCCACGGGAAGACCGTGGCCACATCTGTGAGCTCTGCACCCAGCGCTCTCAGCCACATCTGTGAGCTCTGCACCCAGCGCTCTCAGCCACAGGAAGACCGTGGCCACATCTGTGAGCTCTGCACCCAGCGCTCTCAGCCACGGGAAGACCGTGGCCACATCTGTGAGCTCTGCACCCAGCGCTCTCAGCCACGGGGAGACCGTGGCCACATCTGTGAGCTCTGCACCCAGCGCTCTCAGCCACGGGGAGACCGTGGCCACATCTGTGAGCTCTGCACCCAGCGGCTCTTACTTGGGGGCAGTCTCACTCCCCAGGGCACATCTAGCAATGTCCAGAGACCCTTCTGCGTGTCACTAGCTGGGTGGGGGCTCAGATGTCCAGTGGGCAGGGCCACCACTCACCAAGCACCCGCAGTGCGCTGGGCAGCCCCACGACGAAGCAGTCTGGCCCAAGCGTGGACTGTGCTGAGGCTGAGAAACCCTGCTCCGAGCCTTGGGTGGCTTCTCTGTTGTGGGCACACCAAGGCAGCACGCCACGCCAGGCTGTGGCGGTGGCCAGAGCACAGGTGCAGAGAGCAGTGGTCACGTCCCGACCTGCCTTCACCTGCTGTGTGACCGTGGGCCAGCCACTTCACCTCTCTGGACTGCAGTAAAGTGGGGACACGCTTTATGGTGACCAGAAGAGCACCGCCCTCCCAGAGAGCTGACGTGGCTGCAGGGCCCCGAGTGAGGGCGTGTTCGATAAAGGAATGAATGCAGCGTGGTGACAGCCACTCTTCAGCCCAGCTCTGCTGTCGCTGTCACCACTGCAGCCGCTGCGCAGGCATCTCCACCACTCCGCCTCCTACCGGACTGGGGCTCCCGCCCCTCCCTAGCCTGACCTTGCTTGGCAGGAGGGATGGGGACCTCACACCGCCCACCACGTTCTTCCGTCACCTAGAGAACAGCCAATGTGGAGACAAGAGCAAGGTGCAAAAAGGGATGTCGTCATGGTAACCGGAATCACCACTTTCTAACACATCTGGAGCTCAGCACAGCTTTGCCTGGGTGCAAACAGCAGTACAGCATCTTGTGTGACGAACACGGCAGGCCAATGCTGTCTGCGACAGGTTGTCCCTAGCATAATGTGACGGGGGTTGAGGGGGCCCCAAAGTGAGCTTCCATTTGGCCATGCACCCTGGGCCTGGCTCTCTTCCCCACATGACCCTTCTAGAACCTTCCAGTTTCCTGTTTTCCCAAGTGCTCCCTTTCCCAGAAGATATGGTAATGGGGTCGAGGCCCAGGCCCCTGCAGCACTTCAGGTCTGACTGGGGCTGGGGAATCAGGGAGAGGCTCAGATTCCCAATCCAATCTGAGACTGAGTTTTGGAAATGAGGAATCCAACTAGTTCCAAAACTTAATGACTGAGAATTCATGAACTTGGCCAGAGATTTCATTCGTGAGCCGTGATGAGCACAGAGAGCCCGGAGCAGCCACGGGGAAAGATGAGGCACAGCCAAGTTAGCCCTGGTGCCTGCAGCTCCTGGCTAGACTGGGGACGTAGGGCCACAGTGTGGGGGGGGGGGGGAGGGGCGGGGCTCCTGGAGCTGGCTCTTCAGGTCATCCCCACCCTCACACAGGAGGGGAATTGTGGGGTGGAGGCTGCGGATCCTGCCACTGCCCTCGTAGCACCTGTGCAGCCTCATGCGAGCAGAAAACATAGGGGCTCCAAGTGCCATGGCCCAGGTAGCAAAGCTGTCACCCTGTCCTTGGGCTGGGACCTCAGGTCTGCAAATGCCTCTTCCTGCCCCTGCATTCCTGACTCTACCAGGGCCTCCCCCGGTCCCAGCTCCAGGTGTGACCACACTCCATGCCAAGCCAGGCTGGGACCCAGCCAGTGCAGGTACAGAGCTGGGAGGTGGCCAAGCCCAAGAACTGGCCACAGGGGCCTCTCAGCAGGTCCTCAGCCCAAGCCGTGTCTCTAAACCACTAGGGTGCTCTCCAGACCACCACCCACACCCCTTGCAGACCCCGCACCCACATCGCTGCCCATGTCTTGCCCTGACACATCCTGGGGAGTACTCAGAGCCGTCCCCCAGTCAGCACAGGGCTTGGCCTCTCTAAAGGCCACCCTGTGACCAGTGCCTGGTGACCAGCTCCTGTCCAGCGATGGGCTCAGTGCTGGAGAGCTGGGAGGAGCCTGGAGGGGAGCAGAGAGGGCCTTGTGGGGCAGAGCAGAGCTTCAGGGACAGAGGGGCCTCTCCGAGGTGCAGTGGGAGGTCAGGCATGTGGGGGTGCTGGGCGTGTTCCTCCCGGGAAGGGGAACCACATGGCCTAGCCTGAAGCATTTCTTGTCACTAAGCCACAGGCTCAGGGTGGCTGTGGGAAGCTCAGGGCCAAGGGACCCTAGCCGGAGCCCTACCGAAATAGCTAGTCACTGGCCACTTTCCCAGGGAGGGGCAGCAGCACAGGTGGCCGTGTCTGTGGCTGCAAAGGGCTTGACCCCCTCGCCCGGCCCTGACCACCTGGCCAGGAGCACTGCACTGCTATGCAGTAACTCAGGACCGACCTTGGCACTGCCCCACTCAGCAACCTTCTGTGGCTCCTCACTGCCTGCAGGACACATGCTCCGTGGTGCGGCTTTGGGGGAAGGCCGCCATCCGGTTCCCATCTCGCCAGCATCACTCCCACGCTCCAGCCCACACTGCAGTCCTTTTGTCCACTTGCACGGTCTGGGTGTGCCCAACACATTCCACGGATTTCCAATCTTTGTACCTGTTCTCACCCGAGTACCTTCCCTCCCAACCCACCCACTGAAATCCACCTGTGTCTCAAGTTTCAGAACAAAGAACACCTCCTTGGACGGCCACTGTAGAAGAAAAAGAGCTTCTCCTGGCAGGCACTCTAGGGACAGAGGAGGCAGGGGTGGGAAAATGTAGATATCAGCACAGGAGCCAGGGGCTAGTGATTGGTGTTAATGTTTCCTAAGCACAGAAATTGTCCAAGCTCAGGATTTTCTCCATGGGCTGGGAGAAGGGCAGGTTAAATTATTAGGTCGTCTGGGGATCAGGGGAGCATTTGTTCTTTGAAAATGCAAGTTTGATATTTTAAAATAAATTTACATTTGGAAAGGGCAAACTTTTTTGACAAGGATATTTTTTTAAATCTAAAAAAAAAAAATCTCAGATGATGATTCTGTGGTCCATCATGTTTCCCTTTTTACTTTGGCTGCCAGGAAACTCTGAACAAACTATATAACACCAATCCCCCCCCCCTTTTAAAATTTGCTGAGCTTTTGATTACTATTTGATATTGAATTATAATAGTACTACTGATTGTGAAGCAAATTCTCAAAAATTCTATCAATCCAGGCTTCAGCTGGAAAGTTTTGAATGGAGGACTCTCCTAGCAAGGGCCAAAGCAACAACCTCACCACCTGGTGCTGCTGCAAGTCTGCCTCCCCAAAGGATGAAGGCTTCACTTCGTCTCATGGAGGAAAACGATGCCCAGCTCCCAGAGCTGACACTGAGCTCCCAGCAAGCTGGCGGTGGGGTCACCTCTACAGAGACTTTGACATAGCGGACAAGGTGGGAGGAAGAAGGTGTTTGACATGGAGAGGAATTAACCGCAGGCAGGGGCTGGCTCTGGAAATCAGTGGAAACCCCTCCTCTACCCTGGGGCATGTGGCCCTGCCTCTGGGGACACCACAGTGACCACGGCACTCAGGGTGGGCTCCGGAAATGCAGCTTTTGCAGCAGGAACCTGGGAGCCAGGTCCTGCTGTGCTGGCCACCACCCCCAGTGCCACATCCCGTCTCTTGCCCCAATGAGCCCCGGGCTGGGAAAGGCCACCTTGCTGGCCCCGCCTTGCTGTCACTCTGCCCCACACCCACAAACCTGTGACTGTCCAGTGGGCCTTTGTCCTTTTACAGTAATGGCTTCCCACTTTCTTGTTCAGGAAGCACGTGTTGAGCCCCCACGAGAGCTCCTGACCACAGGAGCCCAGAGCTCGGTGCTTGACTCTACGCTGCCCCAGAGGGTTTCTAGGTGGCCTGGAATTAACCGAGGGGAGCTGAGCATGAGTGCCAGAGGGAGGGGACCAGAAGGAGACTAGGAAGCCTTCCTGGAGGAGGCAGGCTGCGCCTAGGCAAAGCAAGAGTGGGACTGGATGGGAAAGCAGCAGCCGCACGCGGGCGGGCCGCTGTGCAAAGTTGTGGCGGCACGAGAGCCGGAGACTTCTGCCCCCGGCTGCTTCCTCGCGCCTATCCACAGCCACTCACTGCGGCCGCCTCTGCTTTGGGGCCCGGGTTGCCAGGCCCCTGTCGCCAGGCGCTGCGGAGGCCACCCCACCCTGCCACTCAGCACCCGCCCCCACACCACTCAGTGCCACTTACTCCGGAGGCCCTGGGACAGGTGCGCAGTGCTGCCCAGCGACGTGGGCAGGGAGCACTTCTGGCACATGCATTCCTTCCCGTTGAAGGTCACTCGGTCCCCGGGTGGAAAGGGCAGCCTGAAACAAGAGAGCTCGTCACCAGCCAGGCCCACCTTCCGGCCCCAAGCACAGCACCAAGGCCACCCCCCAGGGCCTCGCAGAAATGGGTGCCACGGGCCCAGGACGCAGGGCCTCCCCTGCCGGGCACTGCTGTGTCCCTGCTAGTGGGATCTCAGGTAGTCACTGACCTCTGAGCCTCAGTTTCCTTATCTGTACAAACGGGCAGGATCACAGTGCTTGAGGCTGTGGAAAGACTTGCCGAGGGCCAGCCCGGAGCTTGGCACATGGCAATCAGTCGGGCTACCTGCAACACTGGCCTCCCCAAGCCCGCCCTGTCATCTGCCCGCTCAGGGTCTTCGCTCACGCCAGTCCAATCCTGATGGCTGTAGGCACCGCTGACTGAGCGCCCACCATGTGCCAGGCGCCAGGCACTACAGTAGATACCTTATACGCATGCCTCCTTTAATGGCTTTAGCACATTTGTCCAAGTTGGTATGTGATTCATTTTCTCTCTATGGCAGAGAAACTGGCGTTCAGAGAGGATGGCTAACTTTCCAAGGACACGCAGCTGACACGGTTCAGAACCAGAGTCAAGCCAAGACCTGTCTGGCTCCAAAGTTCCACAGTTTACCTGCATGGACCCCTAAGAGGGCACTGTTCTTGGAGATGTCAAGGGGCTATACAATGAGATCCTGTCTTTATTTAAAATTCTGGTATTTTGTTCAAAATAGATTGTTTTGCGTTGATTTCGAGTTTTAAAACTACTGCATTAAAATACCATTTACCTTGATTCCTGAGTTTTGGTGCTCTCTTAAATTTTGCATCCAAATCGAGTGCCTAGAGGGAGGCTGGGTGTGGGGCAGCGGAGACCCCCGCCCTGCAGCTCTGAGGACTTCTCTCAAGAGTGACAGATGGCTCGGGTTGCTGCTGTCTGGCAAGCTGAGGCCAGGCCTCCTGCAGACAGGGGCCAGAAGCACACCCTGAGACATGTCTGTCCCGGACACCTGCTGCCACTGAGTTGCTGGCAGCTGCTGGGCCACTGCCTTCACCAGCTTGGCCTGGCCAGAGGACCTGGTGCCTCTGTAGGCAGAAGGCTGCAGAAGGACCAGGACGTGCCCCTTCGAGCCCCCCGCTTCAACACCTTCTTGGGCTTCCAGACCCCAGGCACTCAAGAGATAGTGGATTCATTGCCAAATGAGTGAGTGAATGAATGAATGCACAAATAAAGGGCTGACGCTCCCCCAGGAGACTGAGCTCAGCCTGCTCTCTCCTGAGGGGCTGGCCCCGCCTCCCTGATGGGCTGAGCCTCCTCTGATAAAGCCCAGCTGTAGCCCCTCACTGTGTGGGGCCAGCATTCAGGGCCCTTGTTCATGCAGCAGGTGTGTTCTTGGGCTCCCATTTGGCCAATCCCTGCTCTTGGGGACCCAGGAGAAATACAGGATGAGCTGGGTCCCGGGTCCCAGGCCCCCGCTTGCGGGATGGTCCTGCAGTCCTCTCACCCACCAGCCGTGCTGGGGCCTCTGCAGCCCTCTGAGGCCTTGTGCTTGGCCCTCTGTGCTGGTGCTGTGGTCTGCCTCTCCCGTCGTGGAGTCCTGCAGCCTCCCGGGATGGTGGACCCTGGGACAGAGTGGGAGCCCCATCCCTGGATGTGCTCTGAGCGAATCTGTGGTGGGTAACCCAGAGCACCTTACTCAACCTCTCTGAATTCCTGTCTCTCACCCATGAAATGGTCCCAGTAACACCTGCATCACAGGGATGTCATTCATTCATTCATTTACTCATCCACTGAACATACAGCACGGCAAGCTTGAGCATACTGCCTGCAGCCAGGGTGGGGAGCTGAGCAAGGTAGCTATTATTTTATTTATTCAACTTTACTGAGGTGCATCTTGACAAATGCACACACCCACATAACCACCACCACGACCAAAATACAGAACATTTTGTCCGCCACAAAAAGTCCCCTGTGACTGTCTACAATCACCCCCACCCCCACCCCCGGCTCCAGGCACCACGATCAGCTTTGTCACCATGGACAGATTGGTCTCTTCTGGACTGCACATAGTGAATCATGGTGCAGGTAGTCTTCGGCGTTTTGTGCAGCACGACGTTTCTGAGGTTCACCCGTGTTGCACATACAACAATTTGTTCCTTTTTATGGCTGAGTGTGCGTGGCTAAACCACAGCAGGTATTCCACTCAACACTTGAAGGGCATTTGGTTCATTTCCAGTTTGGGGCTGTTACATATAAAGCTGCTAAGAACATCTGCCGACAAATCTTTCTGTAGACATGTGCTTTCATTTCTCTTGGGCAAATACACAAGCGTGGGATTTCTGATCATATGCTAAGTGTGTATTTAACTTTATAAGAAACTGCCAAACTAGGTTTCATAGGAGCTGCACCATTTTGCATTAAAACAGTGTATGAAAATTTCTTTTGCTTTGTGTCCTCACCAACACTTATCATTATCTTTCTCTTTAGCCACTCTAGCGGACGTATGATGGCATTTCGCTGTGGCTTTGATTGTGTCCCCTGATGACTAAGGATGTGAAGTCCTAGCTAATGTATTTGTTGGTCATTCATGTCTATTCTCTTGTGAAGTCTCTGTTAATTCTTTTGCCTGTTATTATCCAATTTTTTTGTTCTTCTTATTATCAAGTTGTAAAAGTTCTTTCTGAATTCCATATACCAGTCCTACCTCAGACTTGCGTGTCTAACTGTTCTCACCAGCCGATGGTTGGCTTTCACGTTTGTTCATTTTGTATCTCCTCCAGCCGACAAACCGCCTGTGGCTTTACTGTGCAGGCTTTATTGTGCAGGCGACAAATTCTCCTAGCTTTTGTGTATCTAAAACAGACTTTATATTTTCTTCATTTTTTTGGTAACAGCTTTACTGACATTTATTTTATTCATATACAATATAATGTACAATTCATTGGTTTTTCGTGTATTCAGAGCTGTGCAACCATCACCAGAATCAATTTCAGAACATATTTGTCACCCACAAAGGAAACCCCATACCCTTTAGCGCCTCGTCTTCATTTTTAAAAGGTTTCTTTTCCTTGATGTTGAATTGTTTAATAGATAGTATTGTTTGGCACTTTACAGATGCTGTGCTATTGTTTTCTAGCATACATAGTTTCTGATGAGGAGTCTGTATTCATTCTTTTGTTCTGTAGACATTTTTTTCTCTTGCTGCTTTTAAGATTTTGTTATCACTGGTTTTCAGCAATTTGATTATGATGGATGATATGGTTTGGATGTTTGGTCCCTCCAAACCTCACGTCAAAATCTGGTCCTCCGAGTTGGAGGTGGGTCCTGGTGGAAGGTGTCTGGGGTCATGGGGGCAGATGACCCACGAAGGTGCCCCCCATAATGAGTGGGCTCTCGCTCGGTTAGTTCACATGAGAACTGACTGTTGGAAGGAGCCTGGCACTGCCTCCTCCCTCTCTTGTGCCACTCTCACCAGGTGACACCAGGTGACACTTGCACCTTCCGTCTTCACTGGGCGCTTCCTGAGGCCCTCACAGAAGCAGAGGCTGGTGCCACACTTGTACAGTCTGCAGAGCCGTGAGCCAAAATGCATCTTTTTCAAAATAAATTACCAGCCTCAGGTGTTTCCTTTATATGGACTATAATGCAAAATGGACCAACACAAAGGAGTTGATGGGTTTTGTTGTTTATTCTGCTTGGGGTTCACTGAGATTGTTGGATCCATGGATTAATAGTTTTCATCAAGTTTGGAAAATTTTCAGCCAGTATTTTTTCGAATATTTTTGGTCTCCCCCCAACCTTAGATAGACAGATCTATATCTACGGATCACTGAATCACTTTTCATGGTTTTCAGTCTTTTTGTTTTCTCTTTGCTTACGTTTAAAGGGTTTCTATTGCTGTGTCGGATCTTTGCTTCTGCAATACCCAATCTCCTGTGATTCCTTCTAGGGAATTCTCCATTTCAGGAACTGTATTTTTCATTTCTGGAAGCTCCATTGGTTTCTTTTTATATCTTCCATAACTCTCCTACTTATGTTCATGTTTCCTTTAAATAAAGATATTTATAATAGCTATTTTAAAGTCATCGTCTGCTAATTTCACCATTGCTATACAATCTGGGTTTACTGCTATTGACTGATCTTCTGGCTTTGTTTCACATTTTCCAGTGTCTTTTTATGACTGGTGGTTTGCGATTGGACGTTGTGTATTATAAATTTTATGCTGTTGAGTGCTGTTTTTCTTTTTATTTTCCTGTGAAAAGCGTTGGGCTTTGCTTGGGCAGGCAATTGCTGCATGTGCAGGGCAGCGCGGGCTTCTTGAGGCTTGTTCTGTGCTCTGTGGGAGCACGTCCGTTGCAGCCTCCACTCCAGGCTGCTCTGGTCCTGTCGGCAAGGCTGGCCGCTTCGGGGTCCCTGCTCCAGCCCCGGGCGCCCAGCAAGGGATCCCCACTCTGCTCAGAACTCAGATGTTTCCCAAACCTGAGAACTATTTATTTCACAGCAACCCCGTCATTCTTTGCCCCGCCTGTGGCGTGTCCTCTATGTCCGGGAGGCTCCGTGTTTGGTCAGACGCTCAGGGCGGATCTCCGCAGCTCTTGCTCTGCACGGCCCTCTCCCCTCTGGACTCTCGCCTCACTTCTTCCCGCGGCCTCGGCCCCCCGCCGTGCTCCTGCCCCGGGAGGGCGCCGCGCTCTGCCTGGGCTCCCGTCCCCGCGCTGGCCTTCAAGACACTGCCTCCCTCCGGGCAGACCTGCTGATCACGGGGGTCATTTTGCTTTTTCCTTCTCTTAGTCCTGAGCTGTCTGCGCTCTGACCTCTGGAAACAGTCGTTTCATACGGTTTGTCCAGTTTTCTAGTTGTTTGTGTGGGCGGAAGAGTCCAGCCCCAGCTACTTCAACACAGCCGGAGCTGTCAGCTGTTATTTTTAAAATAGTGACGTATCCAGAGATGCTCGTTCAAACCCACTGTGATCATGTCAGCCCTCTTCTCTAAGCTGTGTACACAAAGATCAAACATTCAGATAATCCCTGGGAGAGCTCTGGCCCAAGTCACACTGCAGTGACATCAGTGACGCTTCCGCCAGATATGTTCCTTGTCGGTGCCACCCCCTCTCCCAGCACCCCCTGACAAAGGCTCCGTTTCTGTCTCGGGCACATGCTGCAGCTATAGAGAACTGCTTTGGAAACAGCACTGAAAGAGTCCCCTGCAAACTGGGTGTGGTGAGACAGGGAGAACAGAGCAGAAAATAAACCCTGTTTTTCATTTCTTTATTCTTTGTTTTCTAGAAATGGAACATTTCCCTTGGGAGGAAGGAGTAGGGGTTTGTGGAGGGGGGAGGAACCAGGCACGTGGGAGGGCACCTGCCAGCCCCGGCTCAGCCCAGGAGACCAGCCCCTCGCAGCGGTCCCCACTGCACCCCCGCTCTGTGCCCGGCACGCGGGACCGGGGAGCGTCAGACAGCCCTGGGCTCAGGGCGCTCCCTGGGATGCGGCCACAGGCCAGGAGAGGCCCAGCCGGGGAGAGGAAGGGAGGGAGGTGGGTAGGCTGGGGCTCCAGGAGGCCGGCGGCGCCCACTCACCGGCAGACGGCGCACACGAAGCAGTCGGGGTGGTAGGTCTTGCCCAGCGCAGACACCACCTCGCCCTCGATGAACTGGTCGCAGCTGAAGCAGCGGGTGCCGTAGAGCCTCTGGTAGTCCCGCGAGCAGATGTACTCGCCCTGCCGCACGAAGAAGCCGCCCTCCGCCAGGTCGCAGCCGCACGCTGGGGGAGAGGAGAGGACGGCGAGGCGGTTAGCCATGGAGGTGGCCGTCCCTCGCCCCCAGCCCCAGGGGAGCCCTCCACACGCACGCCCTGCCCGACGCAGGCCTCGCCACAAACCCGGGGCCCTCGCTCAACCCTCGGAGGGCCAGGCTCCGTGGACGGACTTCCGCTCTGGCTCTGGCAGTGAACTTTCCTTGTCTGGCGAAGGGGCACTGACCCAGCATGAGAACCAGACTACCCAGAGGGCCAGTCCCCCCTCGCTGGGCACTCGCCAAGCCTCCGAGACCCCACAAGGAAGCCCCAGGAGCCCCGCCCAGCTCCGAGGGCCGCTGCCAGCAGATCGGGAGGGAGGGCAAAACCTGAGTGGCTACTATGCGACAGAGCCTGAGAGAGGACAGGCGAGGTCCCGTGCTCGGTCCACCCGGCTGCCTCAGGGCTTCCCAAACCACCCCCAATCTTCTGGTCTTCATGTCCTCGCAGCCCTCCACCACGATGCGGACAAGTCCAGATGCTCCTCAGGACTGCGACAGCCTGCGGATACCTGAATGTCAATCATTCTTGTCCCCGTCCCCCGGCAAACACCTGCTCCGGGAGGCTGATGCTGTAGAGCCCTGGGGAGGGCCCGAGGGAACTCTGCCAGGTGGGGAACGGAGCACCCAGCCTTGGGACAGCCTGCCAGCTACCGCCAGCTCAGAAGCCCTGAACAGGTGTCCCAGAACACACACACATGCCCCCACACGCTCCCCCTCCAGTGCCGGGGCACGTGGGAGCTATGCGCGGTTTCAGAGACAGCAGCCTATGGCTGGCCGCAGCCCCTCCCTGCTGGAGAGACAGGGAGCCCCTGCAGCCTCAGCCCTGCTGGCCTGGTCAGCCCAGGGTCCTGACGGGGTGGAGCAGCTCACAGCCCTCAAGCCAGAGTTCCAAAAACCCAGCTAGCCCTGGTACATGTTAAAGCTGACACCTGAAGTTTGCAAAGGCTGTAGCTCTGCATAATGTAAATCTGGGGACCTTTTAATTTAACCATTGCCTCGTCCTTTGAGAGGAGCCAGTGGAATGCCAATGACAAAGCAAGACCACTGACATCCATGTACAAAACCTGTCACCACGCTCTTGCAACCAGTTACAGCCACACGGCAGCTGCTCAGCCTTCATTCCCAGGACTTAGTCACCTCTGTTTCTCCAAGGAGAGAGAAGCCAGCTCTCCTGACCAGATGAGACATGAAGCCAAGCGGCTGAGAGCCGGCACTGTAGCTGCCTAGATTCGCATCCCAGCTCCTTGTCTAGACAACAGGACGTACTGCGAAGGTGTACCGGTGGCCCCGGCGAGCACCCTGTGAGCTGGCTCAATGCGAGCCTCAGTCGTGCCGGCCACCAGCCAGGCCTGCAGCTGCCGCGGTCCTGGGGGCTCTGAATTCCCCCTCAACACCCAGTCTGAGCAGGCAAACCCTTGGTTTAATCTCGCACCATGTCTTAGACCAAGCAAATGCATCCCGACTCGGGAAGAACAGACTATGTGGGACCTTACTTGGGAGAGTTAACAGTATTTTATGTAAATGCCACCTGCACCAAGACAGCACCTGAGGGGGCACGGTCACGGCCCTCAGGCTCTGGCCACTTTTCTATTCTTCATGAAGAGGTGATGACATCAGCTGTTCCTTGCAGGAGAAGAATGTGGCAGTGGCTCTGGTGCCCCACTGAAGCGGCATCGTGCGTCGCAGAGCCGTGGGAGCAGGAGCAAAGACAGCGTCCCGGCCAGCGCTCCACTCTCTGGCAGACACCTGGTCAGATGCCAGCTGCCGAGAATGCTGAGGTCACTGCAAGGCAGACAAAACCCAGACCTCTGCCTGCTAAAAAGAAAAAGTCCAAATTCCCTAGGAATTTTAGAAACCCATGTCAAGACAAGACACTGTTATTATATTACATTTTGCAATATGTCAAATTAGCAAACACACTGGAGAGAGGCAGAGCAGGGTGGGTGACACTGAGCACTGTCTTTTGGGCACACACTAGGGTCATTTATGAGAAACAGGAGGGCAGGAAACAGTGGGAAGAATTTGTACCATTTTCTGGAATATCCTTTAGCACCAACACTAAAGAATGTTGAAACTGTTCTGCCCTTTGACCTCATGTCCCTCTCCTGGGATCTATCCCAAGGAAGTGACCATGAATAGCCACAGAAGTTCAGTCACAACGTGTTCTCTGCAGCATCACTATGGTATAATGCTGTGAATAAATGCCTGGGCTTCAGAATCAGGCACCCTGACTTCTCCACTCCCACTTCTTCCCAGCTGTGTGACCTGGGCAAGTTAATTAACCTCTCTGAACCTCAGAATCCCCACCTGTGAAATAGAGTTATAATACTGATCTTGCATGGTTGTTGTAAGAAATAAATGAATGGGGTATAAAAAGCTGGTTAGCCCTGTGTCTGGCTGGAAATGATGTACATGTCCAAAAATGGAGGAATGATTACTAAGCTTACCATGGCTACGCACTTGAAGGAATTTGGGGAGATATTGCCATGGATGTTGAAGAATCTATATGATGGGGAAAGTGCTTACACAGTAGTTTGAAGTAAATAAATTAGGGGACAAAATCAGGTATGTAGCATGCTTCCCATTTTAAAAAAGACTCATACAAGGGAAACGATTGTAAGAATATATACCCAAACCCTAACAGCAACCACGCGGGAAGGTTTTCCACTCTCTCCTCTACACGTTTCTACTTCATGGGTGGGATGACAAATAACACTAACGCACAGGGAAACCGAGAACTCCAGGGGCCTTATCCCGAGCGAGTGGCTCCAGGGCCGGCCGGTCGCTGCAGCCCCGGCTTGGCCCAGCCTCTGCCTTAGACTCCCCTCCTGTAAATAACAGGGCAGCTGTCACCTGACATCCCTTCCTGCTGTGACTGTCACAACTCCATCATGAGACCCGGTTGGGCCAGGCTGTGCAGAACAAGGAGTGCCCTGGGCCAGGGGCAGAGGCCCAGCTGTCTGGGGCTTCCTTTGGAACTGTTTATCGCAAACGCCCCTGGGCATCCAGGAAGGCAGGCATGCAGGCATGTTGCAACACCCCCTCTCACTCCCAGCTTCCTAGAGCAAGTGGCTATTTATAGTCCCGGATGGACATGTCCCCACTGACAGCTCCACCCGCGTTACCAAGCTACAGGCAACTCACGCTGTCCTCCCTGGACACGCACCCCTCCCTCCCTGCCTGCTTTCTTGGCTCTTGCGAAAATCGTGGACTTGCTAAGTTCCGCTGCTAATCAGACCAGAAAAGGCCTGCTTTCCCCAGGTCACACTTGGTCTTGGCCTCATCTTTTCCTTGCTGCAGTGTTTCCAGGGCATTGCAAGCAGGGAGGCAGCAGGTCAGTTTTATAGACAACATCCCAAAAGCAGAGCTCAGCCACCCAAGGAGGGTCAAGAGAACCAGCTTCATCTTTCTGGGAAAATTTCAAGCTGTTTATAAAAATGGTAACAATTTTCATTTTTAAGGACCTACTATGTGCTATATGTTCAACCTATTTATATTGTGCATTTATTCCCATTTTGCAGTAATGAAGACAGGGCCAGCTGGATTTCAAAATAAACCCAGAATCGAACGCCTCCTCACCCCTGTGCAAGCCGCCATCATCTCGGAGCTCCTGCAACCGCCTCCGAATGCTTCTCCTGACTCCTGTGTGGGCCTCCCTGCCGGGCAGCACCAGCCACCGCGAGACCACGACGGAGCAGGTGCTCCTCTGGCTTCCCCGTGGGTGTCGCAGCTGCCGTCCTCGCCGGGATGCACGGCTGTGCTGCCCTCGCCCTCAGCGTTCTGCTCCAGCCACGAGGGACTCCTTCTGCTCCCACACCTGCCGCAGGGGCTCCACACTGGCTGTTCCCTCTGGCTAGAACACTCTGCCCCCACATGGGCGAACAACCAACTCCCTCATCTCCTTCCAAGGTCACTTCAAAGGTCACCTCCTCCTCGAGGCCCACCCTGACCACCCAGTTGGAAATAGTAACTCCCCTGGCACTCCTGACCGGCCTTACCTTGCTTGTTTATTCTGAATAGTGTTTTCTGTCTGTCTCCCTGCACCGGAACTGGTCTCCACAAGGACAGGATGTCTGTTTTACTCAGGACATGCCCCAAGCACCTAGATCAGCGCCTGGCACACAGTAGGTGCTCAGTCAATAGTTGTTGATTGAATCTTCCCCTTGGAAAAACTGGGTTAAGAAATGTGCCTCAGATGTACCCTAGCTGTGGGTGCCAGAACCCTTGGGTCTGAGCCCAAGCCAGGGACAAGAGGATACTTACTAATGTGTCATTTCTTTCATGGATTTTCCCACGTAAACTGAGGCACAAACAAGTGCCTGGGTAGCAAGACCCCAACACAGTGGGACCACTTGAATCAGGATCAGACTGAGACACAATCATCTTCCCTGCTAACAGACCCTGCCTTGGTTCAGCTGGTAATGTGCCCACCTGAGGATGAACAAGACTGACAGTCCAGTCCCCTGTTCCTCCTTGCCAGTGGGGGGGGACGTGTGACCCATTTCTGGCCAATGAGTCACATGGGAAGGCTGGGGGCACTTCAGAGGGAGGATCATGGGAGGAGAAGACCCTTTGCCGTGCACATCTCCCCTGCCCCTTCCCAGGCTAGATGCCACCTTGTGAGGATGTGGTGTTGGAGCCACAGCAGCCATCATGACCCCACGAGGAGAGGCACTGCTAACGTGCAGAAGATGAGATGAGGGAGAGGGAACAGTCAGGGGAAGTGGAGGAAGAATAGGTCTTTGATGACCCTGCTGAGTTGATAAATTAACCAACCCTGGGGTGGGGTGGGGGCTACCTGAGACTCCACATTAAGGTGATAAATATCCACATTGTTTAAGACACTGTAAGCTGACTCTTTTATTAAATTCCCCCGAAAGCACCTCCGTGATTTATAAGCTGCATTTCCATGAATGCCTAGATAGAAGATTAACCCAAGGCTGTGTGGCTGTCGTGCATAAACAGACACAGCTTCTTTTAAAGCGCGCAGGAAACCAGCTGCCCACACGGCTCTTCAGCAGGGGAAGCGTGGAGGCAGAGGCCCTGCCTCGGCCGCGGGGCCCGCGCAGCGCCTGGCACAGAGTAAGATTCTATTTCTTTTCCTTTTTTTCGATTTTTTTCTTTCTCTTTTCTTTTTTTTTTCTTTTTTGAGGCAGAGTCTCACTCTCTTGCCCCAGCTAGAGTGCCATGGCGTCAGCCTAGTTCACAGCAACCTCAAACTCCTGGGCTCAAGTGATCCTCCTGCCTCAGCCTCCCAAGTATCTGGGACTACAGGCATGTGCCACCACATCTGGCTAATTTTTTCTATTTTTAGTAGAGATGGGGTCTCACTTTTGCTCAGGCTGGTTTCGAATTCCTGACCTTGAGCGATCCTCCTGCCTCGGCCTCCCAGAGTGCTAGGATTAAAGGTGTAAGCCACCGCGCCTGACCCAGAGTGAGTTCCTATACCCCACTGTGGGTGGGGTGATGGTGGGCGTTGGGGATGGGCCTGGCTATCCACAGACTCCTGCCACCACTTGAGTCACTAGTTGCCTCGGGCAGCCGATGGAGCGTGAATCTCAGGCCCTGGGTCAGAGTGTGGCTGGTTAGGAAGGGGTTACGGTTATCCCCACATCTATTGGAGAAGACTGAAGTGACCTGCCCAAGAGGACACCGTGGGGAGGGGACCTGGCCAGTTCCCACCACCAACCAACCCGCAGGGTCATGCCAGGTGACAGACTCCATTCTGGGAGTCTGATGCATTTCATTGCATGCCTAAGGTCCGTGTTTACAGAAAATCCTTTTAAATAAAGTGCTCACTTCCACGTTGTCTTTTAAAATAGGCTTTAAAAAAGAGCATTCTAATGGGTTTTGCTTTTCAGAAACACAGCAAATGTATCTTTATGGAGAGTTGAGAAAATTAAACCAGATAAATCCTGCAACGCCCAGGGAAGCCACCGTGAAAAGGAAGAAATGCTTTAGGCTGCAGGGAGGGAAATTCCCTAGCACAGGCAGGGACAGTGACCAGGACGGTGGCCACCCCTTCTCCTCAGGGAAGACTTCCCTGGCACTGAGCACCCCCTTCGCTCTGCAGCCCATGGTAGGGGGCCCAGTACCATGGTAAGGCAGGTGACGGCAGGTGCTAAAGGCCACCAAGTCCACGCTCTCAGCTCGTGCCTGCTCTACCTGCTCCCAGAAAACAAATCCCAGCATGTGCCAAGGTGCATGTTGTCCGTGTCATCATTCTTCCAAAGCAGCCGTCCTGGGGTTTCCCAGGTCCCCATCATGAGGACTCGGGCCGGGGTGCCTGGGAAGATGGGGCACTGTGGGGAAAAGTCACCAGGGGCCCAGCCAGGCTGTGGATGCGCAGGGGACCCCTGGATCCAGGTGACGCTAGGGCATCGAGTGACGTGCCCATGGGCAGAGCTGCAGTGTCTGAGGGGCAGGGTGGGCCCACCTCAGCCGGAGGGACCAGGGCGCTTCCACCCCTGCAGGAAACAGGACAGCTCACCGTCTCCACTGAGTCGCCTGCCCCGCCGGCCCCGTGCCGGCCCTGCTCTACTCCAGAGCCCGGCGACACCAGGGCCATTTCTGGGGTGTTGCCCTTTCTGCAAAGGAGTTCCCTTTTCAAACCACAGGACCCTCCACGCAATCACAGTCGCGACACAGGACCTGGGCAGGACGTGGAGGAGTGGACAGGGCCGGCAAAGACAGAGACAGGGTCCCCCGCTGCCCTGCCCCTCTCCCCCATCCTCCTCGGGAACCCGCGCAGTTCACCCCTCAGGCAGGCACCGATCAAAATCCGGACGAGCGCCCAGCACCGCAGGCCGCAGCCTCCCCGCTGCGGAAGGCAACGCGCGCCCCGCCGGGCTGCTGGCACCGAGATGCCCTCCCGCCCCGACGCCCGTCTGTCTTCTACAGGCGCTTTCTACGCTCTGCAAGTCACAGCCAAACGCCACTTCCTTTGTGAGGACCTCTCTGGAAGCTTCCAAGTCCTCCCCTGTGGGCATCCCCCTCCCCCAGCACATGGTTTTTACTACAAAAAGTCAAATTTTCAAATTGTGCTGCACACCTCACCCAACACACCCGTCCCCCACCGGCCTGCCGAAGGTTCACCCTCTCGGACCCCAGGACAGCCAACAGCCGTGGCCAGGCCCGGCGCACATGGGGCCTCCTGGGACCCGTGTGGAGCGGACGAAGGCGCCCCAGTCACAGAGTAGGGGCCGTGCACTGTCCGATGAACATCGAGTCACTCTGCGATCTACTTGTGGCATGTGTCCTGAGTTTGTTTGCCCATAAAAAAGTGCACCCTCATTGCACCGAGGTGGCATGACTCTGCAAACAGCCCAGGAGGGCAGGAATGGAACCCACAGGAGAGCAGGTTGTGACCATGCTGCGCAGCACAGAGAGGTATTTGTAGCGTCATCGATGTGATTCCTTTACAACCACAAACTCTTTGGGTTTAGATACATCACACTGGTTTGATTTGCATAAGAAAAATGCTATTTTCATATATTTTTAGACAATCACATGCAGATACGTTTGGTCCCATTTGCGCACAGCGGAGCAGGCGCCGTCCTCAGCACGGGGGCGGCTGGAGAGAGCCTCACGCGGGCCGCCGGGGTGCGGGCTCGCGCGGGATGTGTTTGTTTTAGTTTTTCTCACCTTTTTGGTATCATTTGAATTTAGTATGTTACTTACATTATTTTTATAGCCAGAGAAAAATTAGAGTGATTTTCATTTGGAGTGAGCAGTAATGTGCTCTGTGCCCGTCTGGGCGGAGGTGCCTGGGTGCCTGTGGCCAGTGAAGGTCCTGGGTACCCCACACCTTGACACGTGGCCGACAATGACCATTTGCCTTCTTAGCTATGGTGCCCAGGTGGCCACTCTGCTCTGGCTACAGGATCGGAATTCCCACAGGAGGACAGCCCCGGGGTCGGAATTCCTGCACGAGGACAGCCCCGGGGTCGGAATTCCCTCTCGAGGACAGCCCCGGGGTCGGAATTCCCGCAGGAGGACAACCCTGGGGTGGGAATTCCTGCACGAGGACAGCCCCGGGGTCGGAATTCCTGCACGAGGACAGCCCCTGGGGTTGGAATTCCTGCACGAGGACAGCCCCGGGGTCAGAATTCCCTCTCAAGGACAGCCCCGGGGTCGGAATTCCTGCACGAGGACAGCCCCGGGGTGGGAATTCCCTCGAGGACAGCCCCGTGGTTCTGGGCTCTCTTCCTCTGACCCTCCCCACCCCGCAGATTCCTCCATCACGCTCGCAGGCGACACACGCTGCGTTGAAAGCCACACTGTTGGATGTGAATTCTGGACTCGGACCTAACCCGGGGTTCCCAAGGATGTTCCGGGGGGTCTGGACTTGCCCCCGGGAGGCCAGAGCAGAGCCAGGCGGCAGGACTGTCCCTGGGCTGCTGCAGCGGGCCGAGGGCCGAGAGCCACTCACCTTTGCAGACGAAGCACTTGACGTGGAAGTACCTGCTCTGCACCCGCAGCGCCTCCCCCTTGCACACGTCCCCGCACCTGTCGCACAGGACCGCCGTGCCGGGCGGCTTCTCCAGGGCGCTGTGAGCAGCCTGCGGCTGCGACACTGCGGGAAGAGGAAAGCGGGTTAAAGTGGCGTGACCAGGCCCAAGGGTGTGGGGTCACAGGGCCCCCCAGCAAGCCCCATAGCACACAGCACAAGCCCCACCGATGGACAGGTGTCCCTTTTCCCCGGGGACCGGCAGGAATCGGATAACGGGCTAGGTGAGCGGCCTGGGGCTAAGGCCATGCGGTCAACCCCGTGCGGGCGCCTGTCTGTGGCAGCCCCATCCAGTGGGGGGCCCTGCCTCCGTGAGCATGCGCAGACGCAGCGATGAGGCCGCAACTCCCCTCCTGAAGGATGAGCCAACCCCGCTGCCTCCACCCTCCAGGGTCTCAGAGGCAAGGCCCCCCCCCCCCCGGGAGCTCACAGCCCTTCGGCAGCAGGGGAGGGACCAGAGTCCTCTCTCGGCAGGTACAATAGCCATGCTCCTCTTGGGAGTTTGTTTCAAATTCCCTCTGGGTCCTGGGACATTGGCCTGGATATTGTTGTCCCCTTAAAGCTGGCCACGGTGTAAGACGGTCAAGGAGGAGCTGGGCGGATGGACGAGTCAGGACAGATGGTCACAGAGCCCGACTGTCAGGTGCCAGGGACTGGGCAAGGCCATGCACTCCTCATCCCCATCGTCCGAGAGCGCCTACGGAGGCAGCACGCAGCATGCGGGCCCCCGCACAGAAGCCTCAGGTCTGCCCCAGGGCTCCCAGCCAGGCAGTGGGGACAGCCAGGTGGGCAAGGATGACAACCTGGCGGCCCAGCTGGCATTGGGAGAAGCTCCAGGGAGCCCCTCAAGCTTGTAAGCATGAGGAGAAGCGGGCTGGACACAGGGGAGGCTGGGCAGGGAGGCCTGCCATGCAGGTGGAGGGCCCAGCGTGCGGGACACACACAGCAAGCAGTGCCCACGAGGGAGCCTTGGGCCAGGTGTGGGGGCAGCTAATGCCCAGGAAGTGCTGCTGGAAGAGTAACAGCCTAGAAGGACAGACGACCCCCGGAGCCCAGGGAAGGTGCAGAGGGGTGGGGTGGGCAGGAGGTTCTGTGGCCAGCGACTGAGGTCGGCACAGTAACAGCCCCAGAGATGTCCACATCCTAATCCCTGGACCTGTGCACACGCTTCCAGACATGGCAAAAGGAACTCTGCATATGGGATTAAGTTCAGGACTTCTGGGTTACCTAGCTGGGCCCAGTGTAATCACAGGGTCCTTGAAATCAGAAGAGGGTTCCCAGCCATGGTCAGAGGGAGCCGTGACTGTGGCAAAAAGAGAGACACCATGCTGCTGGCTTTGAGGAGGAGGAAGGGCAGCAAGCCCAGGCACGCAGGCACCTCCAGAAGCGGGAAGAGGCAAGGACAAGACGTTCTCTCCCTCCAGAAGGAGCCGGCCCTGCCAACAGCTTGGTTTTAGCTCAGAGAACTGTAAAAACCGAACGTTGGGGCCGTTCAAACCAACAAACCGGGGGGCAAGTGGTCCCGCAACCAAAGAAAAAGAACCAACCCCGGTCAAGAACAAGCCGCCAACTGGGAAGTTGGTCCCAAAAACAACCGGGCAACAATGCAGCCATCAACAGTTCAGACAGGCCGCTGACACAGGTGCAGGGCCTGGGGCGCCAAGCCCTCTCCTCCCTGCCTACATTCTGCCGGTCACCCCTCGTTTTGGGGCAAGAGTCACCAGCAGCAGCAAGAACCATGACAGTAGATGCCCAGCGCGGGCTTTCTCGCAGCCCAGGCCCCGTCCGCTGACGGTGGAGTTCATCCACGTGATCATGTGAGAGACTGAATACACAGACAGCGGCCAGACCACATAGGAAGACAACTGGCCCACTCCTGCAGCTACGCGCCCGGGCCAGGAAACCCACTCCTGTCTGCAGCACACAGCCAGGAAACCAGCCTGTGGCGTGCCAGACTCCCAGGAAGGCAGACTGCTCTCTCCCGACAACCCAGGGCGCCAAACGAGGACTCTGTAACCATCGGCCCCGAATGGCCTGGCAGCCACCCATCTGGCCACCCATCCTCTGCTAGGTCCTCCTGCCCAGAGACGGGGGTTTGAACAGGAAGCAGCACAGAGAAGGGACATCCTGGTGACACAGGCCTCCTGAGGACAGGGGTCCGGCCCGAGGGTGCTGGGTGCAGCTGTCTGGGGACGAGGTGAGGCGTCAGCCTGGAGAAGCAGGTGCAGGAAAGGAGGCGAACGGCATAAAAGATAATCCTGCAGGGCCAGATGCCCGGGACGCTAAACAGCAAACAGGATGGTGCAGAGTCCAGCAAGGGCCCTGTGAGCTTCCGCCGCAGCCCTGGAGGCCAAGTGGCACTTCTCTCTCTGGGCTAAGCATCCGTCCACGCCCCTTTCGCACACAGAACCATCGCAAAACCACCTTGCCATATCAGGTGAAGGTGCGGGCGAGGCTTTCTTGGGCGTGGCCCCGAGGCTCGGGCGCAAAGCAGGCGTTGGGGTTGCGGCTGGAGGCCTCGGCGGGGCCTGCGCCCGCTGCACTTGGCGCGGCCAGCGGGGCCCCGAGCCTGACGCGCCGGACTCGGCCGCGGCTGAGGCGCAGTCAGAGAGCGCGGGGTGGGGGCGTGGGGCTCCCGTCCGCTGGCGGTGCACGAACACGCTCATCTCCCCGTGTCAGGCGAGTGTTGGAACTGCTGGAGGCTGCTCGAACCCAGCGCCCGGAAAGCTGCAGGGTCAGAGTCCGGGCAGCTGGGCTGTGGGGTCTGACGCCCTCGCCTCCCAGGTGTGCCCTCGGCGAGTCGCCGAAACTCCCAACTGCCCGTGTATCTGTCCGCCCATCTGCCCGTCTGTCCTCAGTGCACACCCGCTGGCCCCAGGGACACCAGGACTGTGGACAAAACTGCTTGCCTAGCAACCAGCCCAGCAAACAATACGTGCTCAAGAAACAATAGCCACCGTTATTTTCGGGAACACATGGCCTGACATCACCAGTTTCCAGGCTTCTGGAAACATGTTTGGCTCTGAGGGCAAAGGTTCTGCAAGAACAGCCACGTGCTTGCAGGATCCTGCCCGTCCTGGAGCCGACCCCGCAGCGCCCGGCCGGGCTGTGGGCTGGTGGCAGAGGTGCTGCCCTCTGGTGGTGGCAGGCCGACACTGCATGGCGAGGATGTCCAGGCGCACGTGCCACCTCCGCAGGTTTCCCCTCCAGCCCCCTTTGGACCACAGGTAGATGGATGTTGTGCATGTGAAGCATGGGCTTTTTTGCAAGGACAATTGCAAGGACAATTTGGCATGGGCCAAATTGCAAGGACAGGCATGCAAGGAGAGGCCAGGGTGGCCATGGCAAACCTGCACAACCCTGCTTGCCTCCTCTTGGGCGCCCTCATCCCCTGATAGGTGCTCCCCAGAGAGTGCCTCCCCTCCGCAGAGCAGAGCCGGTGCTGCAGGTGAGCAGACCGAGGCGGGAGGGGCGGCCGCGAGCTCGCGGCAGTGCGGGGAGGGCTGTCCCAGCCTGCTGTCCTGTGCTGCTGCGCTGGCTTCCCTGCACGGGACAGCAGTCCCCGATGGCCAGCACTGCCCAGGGGCCTGTGGGAGGGCAGGGCTTGGCGAGCCCAAGGACAGGGCGGGAGTGGGGAGCTGATCGGTGGCGCGTGCCAGCCCACCCAGCCCCCTCAGACTGTGCTCCAGAGACAGACACTCCTTCCGCCCTGAAGCTGGGCGGGCTGGCCGTGAAGGTCTGCGGGAGCGGGCCGGGCGCGCACAACTGCTGATGGGAGCAGTCTTTCCAAGTAACAGATTAGTCCTGAGCAAAGCTGCTGAGGCACAAGGCGCCCCTCGGGCCGCTGGCCTCTGCCCTCCCTCCCAGCTGCTCAGGGCCAGGGGTGGGCACTGACTCCCCTCTGTCCCTGGCGCCAGCCCCACTCCGTGTGCAGCAGGCAGCTGGGAAAGCAAGTGGAAAGGAAACCGTTTCCTTCCTTTTAACAACTGGCATATCTTGAGCCCTCCTGCGCACTGGGCCCCGTCCTCGGGGCAATGCACGTGTGGACTCTCCCCCTCGACACCCCTGCAAGGCAGTATGGCGGCCTCTCCCACAGGCGAGGACACTGAGGCGAGGGAGGTGAGCACAGGCAAGCCAGGCCCTTCCAACGCGCACTCCTGAGCCCACGCACAGTTGGCGATTCAGGGGCCCAGCGCTTTTATTTTTAAAATGGCTTTGGTTGTTCTGAGCAACTCGTTCGCGGACATCAGAGTGGGGGCTGCCAGTCCGACCGCAAGGCCCAGCCTGCCACGCCCCCTGGGCTGCCTCTCACTGAGTTGGCCTGGTGCACGCCAGGGACCAGACCACGGCTGTCCTTCCGGAGAGGAGAGCCGCCTTCCGGAGCGCAGAGGGAACGTGCATTTGGGAGAGAGGGACGGGACGCCCCCATGAGACTTGTGAAACCGCGCCCAGCTGGAGTCAGATTCCAGGAGGGAGGTGGCACCGCAGGGCTAACAAAGCACAGGGTTGGCCAGAGCAGTCAGCGATGCCAACAGTCGCTTGGACCAATGTGCCCTGACCCACTGCATCCTTTCCAGAATGGCAGACTGAATGTTAACATGTCTGTTTGTCAGTGACATTCTCCTTGATTCAGTAGCAGGTCACGCCGCTGTGGTGCCCCTAAACACACACCCTTCAGTGAGTATAAGTCCCAAATGGCCCTCTCTGGACAGCTCCAGTGCCCAGAACCCCACCTTCTTGGTGCCTGCCCTCGAGCCTGCTCACCGTTCAAGGACACATGCTCTTTGGTGCCTCTGGGCCTTTGCACATGCTGTTCCCTCCACGTGGAAGACCCTCCTTGTTTCTCTGTACCTTCCTTTAAGAGTCACCTCCTGTGCCACTGCCTCTGTGAAGTCCTCTGGGATTCCCCCCAGGCCGACAGGCTCCCCTCCCCCACTTCCTGGCTGTGAGTGGCATGCACCTGTGCACAAGGTCTGAGTGGGTGGATAGCCTTGGCCACCTGTCTGTCAATCGTCCCAGACCAGAAAGGCCTTGGAAGGAGGGGCCAGGTGAAATTCACCTCGGTC